GTGAGTGTGTGATAGTGAGAGTGACACAGAGTGTGACAGTGAATGTGTGACAGTGAGTGTGTGACAGTGAGTGTGTGATAGTGAGTGTGACATGGAGTGTAACAGGGTGTGACACAGAGTGTGAGATGGTGTGTGTGAGAGAATGATGGGGAATGTGACAAGGAGTGTGTGAGATGGTGTGTGACAGGGAGTGTGTGAGATGGTGTGTGACAGAGAATGTGACAGATTGTGAGTGGAAGTCAGGCACGTAGCTTTGAGGCTGTGATTGATTGTCACTCCCTGATATCAGACTCTGAATATTCTAACACTGTATCGATTGTTTTTAACCCACACTCTAACTGCGTAACTCACTATGGAGTTAGTGCTGCACAAAAAAACAGCATTTTCACCTCAATCCCATTAATTATGACACTGACTCACTTGGAGATTGAACTCTTCATAATCCGATATCGATTCCTGTGGAATAAAAGAAAAGTGGATTTGAACTAGAGACCGAAAGAGTTCAGGGAAACATTAGATTTTCACTTCAGAGGAGCATATCAGGTAAGTTTGGTGCATGTGACAGCAACTACAAGGCTTACAGTATATCCTCAAGAAACATTTTAAACAATGCATCCACAGTGTACTGTTTGCACACAAAAAACTTGACACATCTAGGTTTAATCTGCCTGGCATTAATCTGATTGGCATTCCAATTTCCACCTTCAATACTCACTCCCTCCATCACTGGCACACAGTAGCATCAGTGTGTATTATCTGCAAGATGCACTGCAGAAATTCACCAAAACACCTTGGATGGCACCTGCCAAACCAACAACACTTCCCATCCAGAAAGACAAGGGCAGCAGTAACATGGGAACGCTACCAGTTGCAAGTTTCTTTCCAAGCCACTCACACCCTGACTTGGAAATATATCACCGTTCCTTCAGTGTTGCTGGAAATCTTTTCTTGCCAGAACTGTATCTGTACCCCCGCGTACTGAACAATTCAGTAAGGTTACTCACCAATATTTTCTCAAGGGAAATAAACGCTGACCTTACCTACAACACTTACACCCCAAGGTCAATTGAAATGTAACTGTAATTGCTGGCTGTAGCTGTTTGTCATTTTTGATTGGTACAGTAAATGTTGGTTACATTACTCCAAAATTCTCCAACTGCCACTTGCCTACCAACTGTTTCACAAATGAAATTTCACTTCATCATGTGCCGATCTCACACAGAATAAAACATGATCGGTAAAACAGGACTTAAAACAGAAAACGTTTACGTGGAAATATTCTGCAGACCAGGAAGATCGGTGACCCTCCTTATATCATCCTTTAAGGGGATTGTATGGTGAAGTGTGCAGTGCCTTACCTCCAAGCTTGGGGGGTCAATTAAAATTTTCCAAACTCAACTTAATAGATTTTTGTTGGGTCAGGGTTTTGAGGGACATGGAATCAAGGTGAATAAATTGAATTAAGGCACATAACGGCCGTGCCACAATTGAATTGTAGCACAGACTTTGTGAAGGCTGAATGGCCTCCTCCTTTTCCCATTTTTCGCAGCGCTGTGAAGGCTACATTATAGAGCAATAATACTTGCTCTTGATGGCCAACAGCTGTCATCCACTGCATCCACCACGGTCATGGCAGGTCAGCTCCACCTTCCTGCCTGGTCCTTTGATTCCCTGAGAGCCCATAAATATGTCCCTGCCTGAAATATATTCCACAGTGGAGCATCGACAGCTCACTGGGGCACAGGATTCCCAAGATTCACAACCCTGTCATACAGCACAGAGACAGGCCTTTTGGTCCAACCCGTCTGTGCCGACCATATTCCCAAACTAACCTAGTCCCACCTGCCTGCTATTGGTCCGTATCCCTCCAAACCTTTCCCATTCACGTCCTTATCCGAACGTCTTTTAAATGTTCTAACTGCACCCGCATCTGCCACTTCCTTTGGCAGTTCATTCCACTTACAAACCCACACTCTGTGTGAAAACGTTGCCCTTCAGGTCCCTTTTAATTCCTACCCCTCTCACCTTAAAAAAAAAGCCTCCTAATTATGAACTTCCCCACCTTAGGCAAAAAAAAAGACCTGAGATAACAAGGTATGGAGCTAGATGAACACAGCAGGCCAAGCAGCATCAGAGGAGCAGGAAGGCTGACGTTTCGGGCCTAAACCCTTCTTCAGGAA